AGGAATACTGCAGGAGAGGAACCCCAGAGTCCTTCCATCTGGTATGAAGCGGCCCCATCACAGAACTCGCCCGTTTCTAACTTAGCCAGACCTGCTTTATTTTCTAAACCAGAACTTGTAAAATCAACTTGCTCCTCAAGATGATTTCCATTCTAAACAGGCCACTTATTCTAGGTGCCGAAATAACGTAGCGCTCTATTGGACTTACGCTGCTCCTTCATCTCAAAACCACTACGAGTTTCCAAATAATGTCTGAGCAGAAAGAATAAAGGCATATAATGAGCCTGGAGATAGCTGTGAAAATACATTATTGAGGCTTAGCAGGATGCAAAAAGATAAGACACGAATACCAACAATTACGCTAGCAGAACAGAGGAGATAAAAATAGCTGGCAGACAATTCCTTTGTTCCTTGGGAGCAATTTTTGAAACTAACCTGTAAAGGTACATGAAGAAACAGAGCAGATGAAAGCCTAATTTAATCATGGCTTCCTTCATGTGCGATTTCAGTTGTCCTCGGTTATGGATCTCTGTGGGATCAAACACCCCCATGTTTCCACTTGGCACCATTATGTACCTGAAAGTTGAAGAGGGAAAAAGAAACCCAACAGTAGTAGAGTCATCCAAACATTAGGGACTGGAAGGGGACAGAGCTTGCACAGACTTTCATCTAAAGAGCTGCTTCATAATTCAACAAACAGGAACTCTTCTTAAATTCTGTTGCAGTTTCAGGGTGTTGTGTGTATCTCTGCCACTGCAACCCACAAACAAAGGACAAGAAGGACTAAAAAGCATCCGTCCAGCTTCTCGTGTACATGGGAGAGTTTTCAGGTAATAGCCAATTCCAGTTCATTGTAATTGCTGTTCATGGTGTTGTTTCCACCCACAGTGGAAAGATGCATTAGATGAAAGGGTATGGAAAAGAACTAACTTAGCTAAGAATCAGTGGTTTATTAAAAAATATGTATAGATAACGACATACTCCAGTGGTCCAAATGAGACAGCCCAAGACAAGACAAAGGATCTGTATTATTCCCATCTTTGTCACAACCATCCTGTTATCTCAGCAGACACGGAGGCTGACGGGATGAGAGACTGGGCAGAACTGAAGAGGTTAAGTACTGCCGTCCAACCCCACAGAAGAACAAAAATCGAGCGAAACAAAGTGAAACGTAAGCAAAAAGAAGTATAAAACCAGCAAAACATGTCCACATCGTGTGAAAATACACCAAGCAGCATGTTCTTCTGTCATAAGCATTTCTCAAAACAGCAAACGCGAGGACATGAAGTTCACTCCAGCTAAGCTCAGCCTAGAACAGTATTCACTTAAATGCCATACAGGCTCTGCCTTCCTAGAATAAGCCTCTTTCTACACAGGAATTTAACTTGCACCTGGAGCAAAAGCAAGATCTGAGAGCAGAATACATTTGATTTTCTTTATATACTCAAAGAATGGCACCACATGTCCTCCAAAAGGCACCCCCCAGCTCTTAAAGCATTAATTCCAATAGTAGGAGGGGAAAGAAAGGAACAAGAAACAAGGATGTTTTCTAGCAGCCGCAGGAGACAAAGTTAAGACGACAGTACTTCTCTCTTTCACAGAGGCATTATGAAGCACTGCAGCTCATTTGATTAATAACAAAAGACAATTTTGTCCCATTAAAAATAGTTCATGTGAAATAATTACAGTTTCAGAGTCTCTTCTAAATTTGAAGTTTTAAATGACTCTTCTATTTTTAGTATTATAACACAAATTATTGACCATTTACTGGTAATGTAATGCATTTTATTGGAATAAAAGGAAGAACACAAGTTTCCTGTACCAATTTATCCTAGAAATAGAGCTAGAGTGCAGTTTTTTCTTTTATCTCTAGGATAAGAGTGTCATAAAGGTACTCTTTATTAATTATGCTTTTTAGTAAAAATGATAACACTGGAACGATGCAGCTTAATTAAAACCTGCAGGAGCTGGGAGGTAGTTTTTCCAAAAGACCCAAAAGCTACTACTTATATTATACATCTAAGGAACTGCAGTCACGGACACAGCAATGCCAGGTGCTGACAAACATGACTCAAAGCCACTTGTCATTCTCTGGACAGCAGAAACTGCAGCGACCCCACACGAAACAAGAAAACTGGCAGCTTTAGTGAAGATGGGCATTAGTGCCTCCGCTATCTCCATTCAGTGGAAGCGGCTGCCACAGCAACAGGACGTTTCCCTCTGCGTTACACAATTTCCTAAGGGATGTGGAAGTCCTGGTCAGAATTTTCACTGTTTTTTAAAGATCTGGGCTTTTAAAAATTGATTTGGTTTTATTCCTTCAGTTTTAAGAGGGGTATGATCTACTTAAAGACATGGCAGGAACCACATGTCTATGTAACGCAGAAAGGGAAGCATTCAACTTATTTAAGACTTGCTTTCTTTTTCTCTAGTCACATTCAGCATTTCCTTTGTAATTCTTGCTTCTTTTCCATAATAGCAGGTCTAAGAAATATTTAAGAACTAAAAAATACATATTTTGAAATATGATTAGATTTCCAATAGACTGCTTCACTATCTAGTTTTAAAACAAGGAGAATGTAAAACAAAACTACGTCTCACTGAAGACTGCATAAGATGCTACAAAATTCAGGAAAAAATTGACCAAATTAAGTGAGCATCTCAGTGTGCTGAACAAGAAGGGCCAGTAGGAGGTTACAGTAAACACACTGCAACTTTCAGAGTCTCCCTGATGCTGTTTTTGACCAACTTATCTTCCCCAGGGATTTGTTTCTGATGCCCCTTTCACATAAAACCTCTCTACTCTCACTGAAGTCATTGAGACAATTAGTAAATTAAGCCAGTACTGCCTGTAACTGTAGCATTTACTCATCAAGATTAAGCAGTTTTGAAGGAAAAACAACGGGGGGAAGGGATTATTTTCCCACCTTTCTCTCTATTATCACTTAGATAGACTACAAAGCGCAGATTTCGTCAATCTCAATACAATTATTTTGATTTCTGTACTTATCTTGGAGTCGAATGATCATCTTAAACCCGAGTTCAGCCGCAGCAACATTTACTCCAGGAATTGCTTCTTGAAATATTACAGCATAAGAAAGCATTTCAAACACATTCAGCTGATGCTGGAAGTTTGCAGCTCATAATAGGTTCACACTTCATCTGTTCCCACTTAACCCTAGTGTAGTACCTGACACCTTCTCCACGCTTCAGTGTATTTAAACGACCCTACAGACAAGCTGTTTTCCAACTACGGTAGCTTTTGTCCACTGAACACCGGGTCAAGCGTAAGGTCTATCCCAAATCATCACATTTCCTTTATAACGCTAAACAACGCACTTGCTTTTGCAGACCTCTAACTCCTTCCTGGGAAAGTCCTGGCCATCAGTGCGGTGTAACTCCTCAATCCTCAGACAGAAGGCAGGATTAGCAACACAGCTTGACATTTTGACTTCTCGTGGCAGGACAGGCAAAGTATCATATTGTCTTATTCGCTTGTTGCCTACACGGCACATTTAAAATTGAGGAAACAAGCCTGGATTTTAGGATATTCAGAATGGCGACCCCATGTAGGGCAAATAGAAAATGAGAGCTGTCGATTCAGAATAGCGGTCAGAGCTTACTGCCTGCAGTAGGGAAACAGAACTCATTGTATCTTCTAGAATTCTCTCTGACCAGGTTTAGAAGGGAAAGCAAGTGGCTACTGTAAACATTAACATAAGTCAGCAAACAGGAGCAGCCAAGGGGTAACCAGTACAAGAAATCTTCAGAGCTTCAAAGAAAATTTATACTGTCTCCTGTGACTCCAGATCAAACATCTGAAGGCTTTGCTGCTAGCAGTTTTGTAGAAAACAAGGGTGATAAATGCCTGGTTGGTTTTCCCCAAGAACAATGAGGTTATCAGTAAAGGGATCCTCAACTTCCTTTATGATGACAGCTATGAAACCTCTTGTTTGATTCTACCAACAACTTGACCCATCCCTGCAAAACAGGGGGATGGGTCAAACCTCAGCAGGTTCGGGCAAACAGGAAGGACAGCCAACTTTTCATACCTGTATCTTAAACATCTGGTCTTTTGGACTTCCTGTGGTACAGTGATTCTAGATTATTTGTGACAAGTGCACACCCAGTTTTTATTAGCGTAACACCTGTAAAGGTTCAGTTCTCTCCACGTCAAATGATATGAAATAACATTTTTGACCCGACAGTCCTGCTGTTACCACGTGGAAACCCCTACCAACGAGCAAACCGTTTCAAGATGGTGGACAGCCCAGTATACAAAACCAGTAATGCTGACAGCTGTTGGAAGACGGAAAGTCTGCAAACCTTTCCAAATACAGATAGGTAATGGGGGACCAAAACCAATGCAAATGAGCGGGAAAGCCAAGATGGTAAACGAAAGGGGGTGCAGGGGCGAACACCACAGCCCAGTGGTTTCACAACCATCGGCCATGCTGAACAAAGTATTTTTATGCTGACAGCACCAGCGGGCATGTAGGCACAGCACAAAAACCATTAACTATGTTTGCAGTACTACTTCATAACCCAAATTAACACATTATTATTTCCTACAAACTTGGGAATGATTTACAAATCACGATTCCTGGGAATAAAGAGAATGCAAGGAAAGGCCAAAAGCTTTATATCCTTCACTCTGTTGGATTTCTTGTTATTTTCATCTCAAGAGGAGAGTTTTGTGTTAGCTAAATCCATTAAGACTGTTAGCAGCTCAAGAACACAACCGAAACATCTCATAGTGACATATTATTTATCTTCCTACTACACTGCACTTACACTAAACTAGTAATAGTGGAAGGGAAAAAAAAGGGCACGCAAAACCCATGCACTTACCTATATATATTCCATGTCGCTATTGGCAAATTAAGGAGAAAGATGAACCAGTGCAGTGAAATAAGCATTAACACAGTCACAACAGCATGGCCAATCACCTCAGGGACCACCCACTGTAAAAAGGGAAGAAAAGGGAAAAAAGTTAGATGCACAAATGTGAATTCCTTTCTAGGGAAAAAAAACCCAAAACAATCTATATGGAGTAATCATCTGATTCTAATCATATCAAACTCAGAAAATTCACGGAAAAAAATCCATGTGATTTCATCACAGTGTGGAGAAATAAAAGCCTTCAGACAGATTCCATGTGAGTAAGCCAGAAATCAAGCCCTAAGACCTAACAGCAGTGCTTTATCTGAGTATTACAAAAGTTTTTAGAGAAGTTGTACAATATAGTTGTGTTCAAATGTAAGCACTGAAGAAAGAGAGCTAAGAAAGTATACAGTAGCCATCTGAAATCACTGCAGAGAACGCTGGATTTAGGAATGAGGGAAGCAGATAAAATCTGCACAGACACAGGACATACAAGCACCCTCAGGCTTGGAACGGATCAAGTTGATCAATACGAAAACTGGCAGAGTCACATTAGGTCAGCCCCTGGAAGTAACACATTTTTGGCTTGACAGGATCCTGTAACATTCTCTCTTACATTAAGAAAGCAAATACCTTTAAATCAAAGCAAATACCCATGCTGGAAGGCCACAGTGATTGAATGAAATCAGTTTTAAGCAGATGTGGACAAAACAGTACTTTTCCTTATCACTTTAAAACTCTCTGCTGTTCAAGAGAGGTTAAAAACTACACAGAAGCATCAGAGAAAGTTGCTATAAAGATCCCAGAGTTCAGTCCTGAGTCGGCGCCCTTGGTGTGGCACACCTACAAGAACGAAAGGACAGAACTCAAGACCTCTGCAAAGCGTTCAGTCTCAGACTCAAAAATTCAGAGTAGCAGCTCATCTCAGAGCACCAAGGGTGAGAAAAACAGCCTTTCTTGACTCCGTGTGCTGAAAGATGGGCATCCAAAGAAGACAAAGAGACTGAAATAAGGGATACAAACAAAACACTACCAATCAATTCTCTTCAGATATACATTACACTCCTGCTATTGGTGATGCTAAGGTGAAGGACTGATTTCTTAAGCCACATTAAACGTAAAGAAGAATCATTTACTTTATTGAGTTTCGAGCAGCACCATCGAGCGTTAATGTAGTCACATTCCAAATCTGATAGTGTAATTATCTGAAGTGCAAGATAAGGAAAAATTGCACGGTAACTCAGACTGCACAAAGCTTCATTTTGATCAAAAAAGCTGGGGAAAGCACTCTGCTCTAAACACAGGCTGTCTTGTTCTACAGCTGATCTGCCAAAGGCATATTTCAAGTAGTTACAACTGAGTCTTACTTCAGGTAGGAAGTTAGGCCACATTTTATCATCAGGCCAAGTGATTTTATGATGTTTTACCAAGGGCAACTGTTGCACAAGTGCTAAAGTTCAGTTCAACACTTCAAACGGACCCCAGAGGCAAACTCAATATTTTTAGCCTCAGAATTACTACTACAACACTTGTAACTACAATTTATAAGGAAGAAAAAGTTAATGCACTTTTTAAACTTTCCTCACAATAAAGCCAAATAGTGCAGCCTTAAGAAGTGGATCTACTTTTTAAAATAAATAAGTAAATAAATAAATAAAATTTTACACCAACATTGGACCATTTCCTATCGTGCTAGGAAACAAGAACAAACATCACTGTCAAAATGAACTTCCAGCAGTTGAAATATGAAAACTTTAGGCAGAAAAGCCCTCTCAAAAAAGGCTTAGCATGCATGTGTGCACATCATGCTATGTCCTGTAAAGCTCACGCACCTTTTCTCCAAGAAAATGAAAAAAAAAAAGATTTCTATCTCTAAAAAAAACCAGGCAAAGTCTTTTCATTTTTAACAAATAAACTATCCCTCCAGGATGAATGTGTCTATTTTTTTCTGTTACAGGTGAGTAGATTCTGAAATAGCACCAGGATTTCAAAGAGTATAAGAAACAATTCTCTTTTACTCAGAAGAAAAAAAAAGGGAAAGCCAAGTAAGTGCTTTTACATTCCAACAACACCAGACAGCAAAGACTGCAGGCAAGTTGGTAACAAAGAACATGGAAATGCTGCTTGTCGAGGAACTCACCGTCTCCCAGCTATGAGCTCGCATGTAAAATCGAGTGAGACGTCCTTACAATTAAGAGGCCCAACTTTTTTTAGGCCCAGGTGCTTTCTAAGGGTGCGAAGCACGCTTCCACACCCTTCCCTCTACACCAACGCCCAGCATATGCTCCTTCTGCCGAGGCAGGATGAATTT